CGGCAGGGCAGGGCGGCAGGGCAGGGCGGCAGGGCAGGGCGGCAGGGCAGGGCGGCAGGGCGGGAGGGCCGGCGCGGGGGCGCTGCTCTGCTCGCGGGGCCGGGCCGTGAGGTGACCGAGCTCCGCTCTCCTGCAGCCGCCGTCGTCTGCGTGGCGCTCCTGGACCGGCTGGAGGGGGACCAGATCCGGGCGTCCCACGAGGTGTTGTGGGAGTACCAGCAGCGGCCGCAGCGCCTGATCGCCGCCTTCATCCGCAAGCGCCTGGGACTTTTCCCCACGGCCTGACGGTGACGGCACAGGCACGGGGCTCCGCACCGGGAGAGGGACAGCTCCGGGCCCGGCCCGGCCCACGGACCCTGCTCCGGGAACGGGAGAGCTCCGGGAACCGGAGAGCTCCGGGCAGGAGCGGCCGCAGCCAGCGGACACCGCGGGGCGGGAGCTGCCGGCCTGAGCGCGGCTGGAACCGCACATGGGACACGATCTGCACTGACCAGAAATTCAGGCTGTGGAACAGAGCTGCAGGTTTCTCACTCCTGGCTCAGCCGCCCTAAAAGGACTGTCCTGTTAAGGGCACTCCTGCCCACAGCGATTTTCCAGGAAGGAGATCCCTTTGCTTTGAGCATAAAGACAAAACCTAAGTAAATTACATGAAAAATTAACCCATATTTGTGCCCAGTATTGTTAGTGCTGTTAAAAAGGCCGTTCAGATTTTCATTCCTACAGTATTTAAAGATGTCACAAACAGCCACATGACAGGAGAGGGGACACTACAGCACCCAGCCGTGGTGAGCTGAGGAGCTGACCTTCAAGCACCGGTTAACATTGAAGACACTTTTCTCACCACCAAAATTCACAAATAAATAGTCTATCTTGAAACCAAATACCTTAATTTTCACAGAGAAAGTCTCATCAAACTTTATAAAAAGTACAATTGAGAATGAACTGCCCATGCTTCAATCCTGGCATAAAGACAGCTGAGCTCTGAACTGGCTCTCCTACCCAGCCAAACCCACAAAGCAGGGCTGCAAGTGGTGCAGGTTGAGAAGCCTATTTACCATTAACATTTTTTAAATTACTATTTTCATGTGTGTAACTTGGAAGATTTCTTTTTGTTTGTTTGTTTGTTTGAGTGTAGAAAGATGTATCATGAAAACCAAGGTCATTATAAGCATCTCCATTTCTTGAAGGATTCTGATCAGCTCTTGCCACCAATGCTAAGGTGAGGATTATGAAGTAGGGTGGAACATCCACCTCCCTCCTTCCCACAGGGGCAGGAAAGGTGTCTGGCCAGGCTGGGGAACAGCCAAGAGGTCTGCAGAGCTCTCTGGCATGAGCAGCCTTGGTTGTGATGTGTGAAATACCCTTTTACTGACCCACGTGTTCTCCACGCTCCACTCTTACATGAAAATCCCCCCCAAAATCCTCATTCTGGCCTCACTGTATCACTAAAGGCCCTGACTTACCGTTGCACTGAGGTAGCCCAGACTTCTATAGACTTTTACTCAGTCTCCACCCTGAGAATGACAGACATTAAAACAATAAGTCCCTGCCTACAAACGTGCCCACTCTTTCAAAACCAATGTCTGCTCCTTTAAACTTTCTTTTTCATTAACATATTGTTTAATATTGGTATTTAAAAAATATCACACCTATAATCTCAATTTCAGTGGTGCAAAATTTATCTTATAGATCTGCTTTTAAAGGCAAGGGAAAAAAAATTACTGCCTAGGTTTGGGATGATGCCTTTCTGGGAATTGTCTCACAGCCAGTCTGTTCCTCACAGCAAAACACTGCCAGTCTCCCCACAGGAATATCCAGCCAGTTGTGAGGTTGCCAAGTGTGTTTGAAAAATAACAAGTTACCCCAAAGGAGATACAAAAATAAAACACACAAATATACAGAGAATCATAATTTTAGTACAAGCACACAGAAGCTGAGCCCAGAAGATGTCTCTCCCCTAGACAAGGGCAGGCTCTGCAGCATTTCCCCACTAAACTCAGCTGCAACACTGGGATTATGCTGCCCCTGGGTTGACCCTTTGCTCACTCTCAGGAGTCGAGTCTGTCACACCAGAAAATAAAGAAATAAAGATCCCAGCTCTATTTATAATTTATACTGAGGGACTAATCTACAATATGAAATTGTATGACTGGTTTGCAGTAAATATGATGCAGCAAGTTGCCTTCTAAATATAGACAAAGGTTTAAGTTTCATCTCATCATAATCAAGGAATATTAGAAACAGGCATGGCAGTGAAGATTTTATAACTAAAATAATCAAATTCTCAAGTAACCTGGAAAGATAATGGTGAGATGTAGTCATGTAATAGTAATAAAATAATAATATAATAATAAAATATAAAGTAACTGCTGCGCAAAGCTATTTTGGACTTCTGCTGCAAATTAGATCCCAAGAATTTCTACTCAAGGTGCTACACATCAGATTGCCTGTGCTATGTGGAGGAGTCCCTTCCAAGGTGCCCCAGCTCCAGTCGAAAGGGACATGGGCAGTCACACCACAGCAGCAAAGCTCTCCAGAGCCACGGCAGGCAGGGCAGCTCAGAAGGGCCTGGAGTGCTTTAGAATGGCTGCACACACGGACAACTGAGCACTTCTCGGACACAATCAAAGGGAATTTGTTGAAGATTTGCATTTTGTGGGTCAGACCAGACCCCTGATGCTCCTCTGCCCCTCAGATGAGAGGTACTCTACATTTTAAAAGCTGTAGATTCCATGTCTCTTCTTGGAAGCTTCAGTGGTGGAAGTTTTGACAAAACCTCTCTTGCATAAAGTGTTTTATGCAGTCCAGCTTCTCGGAGAGCGAGCTCAACACGGAGCCTGGGGTCAGAAATGACCTGTTAAAAAAAACACAGCAATGATCAGTAGAAGCCAAAAGCTCCCTGAGGAGCTGCTGCCCTCCCTCATGCTCTCCATGCACACAGCCCCAAGTGCAGCATAGTTTCCAATCTCCTCCCTGATGTTCCTACGGAATCCAAGAGCTTCAAATGCCTTTATGATTTTTCTCACAGTGTCACCTTGTGCTTACATGGCAGTGCCACTTCCATTTGTCAGATTGACAATTAATCCCAGGGAAATTACTTCTGAAATTTGTCAGAAGTTTTTCTGGCAAAATTTGTAAGCCTCTTTCCAATCCCCGTTCCACAGTCCGCAGTGGGGCCGCACTGGAAGCACAAGGAGGAGGGACACGTTGCTTCCAGTTCCAGCACCACCTCCCCAGTGCCCAGAGCTGCTGGAGACCAGCACTGGGAACATGATCCACAGGCCCTGCAGCACTGGGAAGGAGCACAGGGATGTGCTGGGCAGGGATCACATACTGCAGCCTGAGCAGCACCAAACCTGTCTGGAGCTGAAACAGAAAGAGTGTGCTGAGAATTAAGGCATAGGACCCAAATTTTAAGTTAAGATTTGTCAGAATCCCATACATTGATCAGATTTGGGGAATTTTAATAACCAAACAAAACTCACATCTTTCCATTATCAAACTGAGAAGCTTTAAAATGTCCTAAAATGGGAAGAGATGGACAACTTTAGCTATTGACTTCGTTAAATTTCATCTTATTCAGTGTCAAAAGAAAGCTTTTACACCACAGAATTGTACCATAGCTCTTCTCTTCTTGTAAATAACTTTCAGATTCCAGAGTGGGAATAATTGGAAATGCATTGACTGAGCAGATAGGGAACAGTGAGGGAATCAAAAGATATCAGGATGTTCCTTGAGTGCATGTGAAATTGAGGGAGCAGCCTCCTCAGCAGCCCGAGTACGGTTAGCTCAGTTCCTGCTCCATTTCCCCAGCAGGATTCCAGCCCATTACCTGCTCTTCACTGTACGTGTGCAGCCTGAACAGGGGCTGCTGCAGCTCAAACTCCTCCTTGCTTCCAACGCCCATGCGAGCTTTTGACGCCACCGTGTCAGCCACTGCTCTGGCTGGATCTAATTTTGCAACAATGGCAACCTAAAGACACAGGAGGAATTAAGGATTACTCTGTCCCTGCAGAGCTAAGGCCAGAGCAGTGGTCAGCACTAACACAGCCTTGGAGAACAGGATTGTCCCAGCTGCAGAGGCGGCCTGGGCGCAGCAAGGACGTTTGGGGAGAAGCAGCAGCAGGCTGAGCTCTCCAACAGACACTGACTGAGCTGCACTGCCCAGCCCAGGCTCTGCAAGGATCCAGCAGCCTCATAATTCTGCAATGCCCACAATTACCACAAGTCCAGACTTCCTTCTTTTTATTCCAATGGAAACAAAGTTGTTCAGGGTGATAGTTCACAATTTTTACAGAGTTGTGTGCAACAGCATTGAGTGATATGCCCCAAATAATACAACTCTGGGGGTTTTTTTGAAGTGCATCTGCTTTAACTGTGTAATTTCCTGTGGCTAGATCAATATCAAAGACTCCCAGACACTGTATTATGACAGAGTTAATATTTTTCATTTTTTACTTTCTTTGTGTTAAAATATTCAGATACAGGCTAATACTACTTTGGAAAAATCCAGAAAGATGTATGAGCAAAATAGCTAAAGTCAGAAGCCCAATGGCTAAGATCAGAAAAAAACTACTTTAAATTGCGTGCAATAATGTTTTTACCCATATCTTTAATAAAATGTCATCTTTGTATTTACAGGCTGCCCAAATCCACAGGCCAAATGACTCCAGTAAAGATCTTCTTCCCCTTCCCCCCCCACCCATAAAAAGAATGTACATACTTTATGAAGCAGCATTTCATTAGTGTGAAACAGAGAATAAATGTTGGTCAGAGAAGTAGAATGAAGTGCGAGCATCACCATCCTAGGCCAAGGCCCTTTAGAAGCATTTTCTACTCTGGCAAGAGAACTGAATCAGTGGGAAGAGCTCAACAGACCACAACTACCAACCAGCTTCTTTGGAGGAAAAAACAAGGAGATCACATACAGAAATGTAAATTAAGGCAAAATTACTCTTTCAAAAGTCATCAGTAGAAAAAAATAACCCTAGCACTACTTTTACCATGATATTAGCAAGCATTAGTAAGCATTTTATGGGTGTCTGTCTAAAAGTAATATGCAAAAGTTTCAGAGACTCAAATATCTCTGAAGTCATCCAAGGTGTGCAAGTTTTCAGAATTTAAAAAGAATATAAATTACTCATAAATCTTGCCTAAGATTTAAGGCAGACTTAAGGTTATTAAAACAAAAAAAACCCAGAAAAAAATCACAGAAAAAATATCACATCCAACCTGGAAAAAAACCTTCTCTATCTCCTCTAGGATATCAGCAGCTCCTCCAGTACAATTTAATGTCATAATGTTCCCGTTGTCAGAGCTGAAAGTACAAAGGATTTATACAAGAGGAGAGAACTACTGTTAGTCAGCCCTGAAGTGCCTTTTACCTCGTTCATTTATTTGCTTTTGAGAGATTGCTGCTTTTCCCCCTGCCTGCCCTGGCAGGCTGTGTTGGTGGCAGAGTGAAAGCCCTGCAGGCAGGGCCCAGCTCACCCGCTGCCGCAGCGCTTCCAGGCGCTTCTCCTTCTCCTGCTGCTGCCGGGCCTGGAGCAGGGCCAGCTCCTTCTTCTCCAGCAGCCGCTGCTCCAGCAGGGCTCGTCGGAGCTGCACCCTGTGAGCACAGGGAAACGCTGTGCACCGCCACTGCCACATCTCCCACCGCGCTCCCAGCTCCCCTGGACACCCCGTACCCTGCCGTGCTGCTCCGTCCAAACACTCAGAGAGCCAAAGGGGCTTCTCCCTTTCAATGTGCTCTTTTGGTGGCAGATTCTTGGTTTGGGTTTTCGGGGAGGGGAGCTGGTTTTTGTTGCCTTTTGATTTGTTTCTCGGTGGGTTTTGGTTGGTCAGTTGTTCTTTCAAACAACTTGGCTAACCTTTCAGATTCCATGTCTAGACCGCAGATTTTCTCTAGCATGCTTTATATAGCCCTGGTACTCTTTATTCTCCCCCATTTGCTTTGCCAAGAAGAAATGTTCTCTCACATCTGTGTATGGCAGAAGAAATCTTTCCTATAACCCTTTCCATTAAAAGAAACACCTCACTCCCAGTCTTGTCAATGGAAAAAGAAAAAAAGAACTTGAGACTTACACCCTTCTTCCAAAGGATAAAGCTGGAGGTTCACACCAGTGACTCCAGAACTTTACCCACAGCACTACTGTGCTGCTCCACCTTTCACTGCAGGCATTTTTAGACTATTGTGCAGTGTTCCTTATGGAGCTATAGATATTTGTTGGGATGTTGCTTTTAGTCCTTCTACAGGAGTTGCCAATGCCATGCTTTGCATTTGGAGAATTACTCTCCTTTTGCCCTTCAAATTTGAACTTGCCTTTAGAGAAATTGAGACAAGAGAGTTGCTTCAACTACAATAAAACATGCATTATTTTCTTACTCTCCAAATTTTAGTAAGCTCAAAGGAGTATATAATTTGTGCTATAAACTGCAACAATCAGAACTAAACCTACAGTTCTGCTGCTGGCTAGCTTTCACTTGCCCCTCAAACAAACCAAACCTGATTATAAATCATTATGCAAAGTAAAATATAGGAGGTCTTACTACTCAGCTACATTTTATGACAGTTTAGTGCTTACAATAATCTGAAATTTTGATGGATGTGAATTAATTCAAACTGAAGTAAATTGCATCTAAGATACAATCACCTAGGATGCAACCTTACAGTTTGCATATATAGTTTGAAGCATTTGCCAAACAGGAAGAAAAAAAATGTACTTATCCTTAATTTATTTTTAAAAAGAAAGACAAGATATCAAAGTAAATTAGATTATATGAAGATCCTATTGATACTATAGGTATTCACATTTAATTTCTTTTACCTTTCTCTGTCTTTAGCTGCTTGTTCAGCCATTAATTTTCTCAGCTTCTCCAGATGTTGTAGATCTCTTTCCTCCTGTTCTTGCCACTTGAGCTCTTTCTCAGCCCAGTATTTTTTCAGCTAGAGTTTGAACAAATACAGCAAACAAATTAACACTCATTCCAAAGCCCAGGCAGTGAGAACAAAGCAAATAAGAAAAGCATTACGTTAGAGATTCCAATTTTGATCCTTTTAGAATAAAATTTCTATTTTAGAGCACTACAAGCTAACAGAATACTTACTAGGAAGGCAAGAGGGTGTGGAGCCCCCACAACAAAAATAATAAAATCAGACTGTGAACACTAATTTGAATAAATTTTTCCATCACAATCTGAAGACTACCACTTCCATTCTGCTTGCATTCCCCAGAAAAGCAGCTGTAGTACAAGGTTATCAGCCCTTTTAAGGATTTAGGTTGTAAAATACTCCAATGAAACTGTGACTGCTGACCCCAAACAGCTGCTATTCCAGAGGGCTGCTCTATATAGACATTACACACAGCAAGAGAAAAGTTTGCACAACCAGAATATTTAGAGATAAAATGAATATTGGTGGTGTTGGGTCAGCACTGCCTCCCTAAGCCTCTTCCTTCCCTGTGGTTTCAGAGCCACCTGCCACTACAAACACCATGTGTACAAAGGCAAATGCACAGAACGAGCTGGAACAAAAAGAGAAGCAGCAGCAAAGCTACTCGTGACCTAAGCTACAAACCCTCCCTAAGTGTCCCTCTGTGCCACTGGACTCAGAGCTAAAATCTCCGTGAAACAGCCACACGGATTTTTGCCATCGCTGAAGGAAAAAGGCCAACACAAACACAGCTTGATTTTCTAAAGCACTGGTTTCACTACAGTGCATTTCTGAGTTTCTATGAAGTTGCATCCAAGCCATTTCCAAGGAGTCAGCACACAAGCCCTGGGCACGCTGTCCCCGGGGTGTCCCTGCAGCCACGTGCTGTGCTGCAGGCGCTGCGCTGCCGGGCTCCCCTGCTGCATTGCAGCACCCAGCTGCAGCACTGGCAGCTGTCTGAGGCTGCTGAGCTGCTGCAAGCGCAGAGCTGTGCACTCACACCCTGCCGTGCCCCTGTGCTTGTTTTGGGACAGACACACTGACTTGCTGAGGCTTTCTTTCCTAAGCCATGCAGTAGGATAACATACCTGGTGTGTCAGATCAGGCAGCTTTAGAGCTGAACTAAGCAACACCTGACTAACCACTTGCCCATTCCTGCATCAATACACAGTACTTCACAAGAATACATGCGCTATGAGATCAGTTACAAATTTTAGAAGCAATGGTACACACTAATATATGCAAAAATGTATAAAAGTTTCTCATACTTTCTCTTTATCCTGAGCTCTACGAACGGTTTCCTGTTCTCTCTGTAGCCTTTCTCTCTCATCTTCCTTTTCTTTTCTTCTGGCAGCTACAGCAGCTTCTAATTTAGCAGCTTCTTCCTGCTGTGCTTTCCACTGTAGAACCTGGAAGAGCCAGTTGAAGAGACAGTCCTGCAGCAGACTGTGTAACACTGATCCTGCAAAGCTGAGACTGGGAAGGAAACTCATGTAATCTGCTTACAAAGTAAGATTTATAATCTTATCAACAACACAACCATTTAGCAAGCACCACCTTTCTGCATGTTCATGTGCAGTTCCCAACTGATGGCATAATATGCAATAAAATCCCATATGAAAAGGTTTTAGGCAAAATTTCTAAAACCATCTCAGTAATTCACATCTCCCTTCAGCACTTAGAACCTATGAAGGGCAGGAGACCGAGAGGGGCAGAGCAGAGTCCACTCGCAGCCTTTAGCACAGGCACCCCTGTCCCAGCGCCTTGCCTCCACGCAGGGCTGGCTCCTTTGGCTGCCAGCTGCAGCTGGTGCAGCCCAGCGTGGGAGCCCCTGGCCAGAGCCCACGGGGTGCTGCACGCCTGGCACCCCTCTCCCGTGGGCTGGAGAGGCACTGCTGCCTGTCCCCATAGCTGCCAGGGACAGTGGCTCCTCCGCAGTGTCCCAGCCAGGGTGGGATTGGCCTCGCTGCTGTCACCAGCAGTTGTGTGCTCATCTCTTGCACGCTGCTTTCTGCAGGATCAATGATGTCTCCTTTTTGTTGGCTTGCCAGTTCTTTTTGTAATGGATTTGTCAAGCACTAACAGAACTCTGCATTCCTTTAAGGAACAAGCGTTGAAGCCATTTTTCAGCTGGTTTTCTACACTACAGCACTTTAATACAAAGATATTAAAATGCTTATCATTTATCCACCTTTACTGCATTTCACTGGCTGTGTCTGAAGATTATTTATTCTTCTGGTTGTGCTTATAAAAGATGTTCTGTTTAGAAATCCAGCAGTCCCCATGGTCCAAGGTTCTCAGAGCTGCATCTCTGAATGATGCCATGCTTGCCCTGCTTCTTGCTAAAGCAGCAATTATACTTTTTTCTTTGAAATACACTGAATAATGTTGTGACTTCTCCTGGAGTGCAGGCAAAGTGATAACGTGAAAATAACCTGAAAATAGAGAAGTTGCAAAGAGAACAGAGCCAGGCTCTTACAGAGGTGCCCAGTGACAGGAAGGAAAACTGCAGGCACGGAATGAAACACCTGAAATTCCAGTGCATTCACCACTTCCCTACTGAGGCAGGATGAGCTCTACATGTTGGCCAGGGAGGTTGTGGGGCTGTTTCAGCCTGGACTCAACACGGTCCTGGGTCACCAGCTGTACCTGACCCTGCTTGGGCAGGGGTGACCTCGGGGTCTGGAGAGGCCCCTTCAGCCTCACTTGGAGCTTGTGACACCAGGGCTGTGCAAATTGAAATCTTCACGGAGCGATTTTGCCAGCAGCCTGCTCATGCAGTTTAATGGTTTAAGAATCTAAAATAAAATGCTAAATTGTTTCAGTTACCCTTCACTTGCCAGGCTAATGAGCTCAAAAAGGAATGCTTTGAAAATTAATCAGAAGAACATGCAATCCTTTCTACCTTGCTTTTGAAACAGACTGAAGCAAAACCATATATAGAAAGATTTAAAATCTAGCAACAAGCAGTGAATGAAATCTGCTAAAAGTGTACTTAGATTGGAGCTGGGATAAGCTGCAGGAGCATTTGAAGGAGCTTTAAACTTCTGTAATAACATTACAGATTTTCTCAACTGATATGAGGTAAGAGTCAGATTATGTAACAAAAAAATTGCTTTTTGTAAGCCTGGATTTCCCTACATCCTGCTTCCCACTCTTTCAAATGCTCTCCAATACCGAGGTCAATGCCACCGGTGCAGTTCATGATGCAGCTTCAGTTCCCCCCATGTCTGAGAACTCTCCTGATCCTCTAGTGGTCTTCTCTGGATATTCATTTATCTTTTAACCAGGGACTTGTTTGGTTGTTTCATTGCAGCCATTAGTATGGCCAGGCCATAAATTGGTCTCAACAAGAACTGCATTTCCCTGATATTTCAGGGGAAGCAGTGCCTGGAAATGCCCCTGGAGAACAGAGCAAACCCTGCAGGGAGTGTGGGACAATGAAAACTGCCTGAAGGAAGCAAACCTCACCAAAGCAGTGAGCAGACACAGACACTAACCTGTCCTGAAATCATCTCAAGCCCCCCTATCAATTCATTTTATTAGCAGCAGTTTGTGTGGTGTATGTGACACCCCAGCCCTGTGACACACCGTGATCACTGTCCTGGGTTGTTTCCTCACAGCTCTTTGGTTACAGCCTTTTGATCCCAGTCAGAAATCAATATTGGGGCACAACCTCAATTTCTGACAGGTTATGTACAAACAAGTGAGCATAGCCAAGCATCAATTCAGAACTCACTAAGCTGACAAAGCATTAATCACACAGTAGTGTTCCCCAGACAGAAGTGATAGGCCAATAACTCTGTGTGTATCTTCACTCCTGCAGTGCTCCCTGCTCTGCCCTAAATCTCTACTAACACATATACTTCCTCAGGGTGTAGATCATGCTTTCCATTTTTTTAACTTCAATTCTGAATCTACTTTCTCATTCTTTAGTTAGGATTTTAAATGTATGAGCCCAAGGCAAACCAGGAAAATGGATAACAAGGATACCAGAGGAGAGTTTCACTGTACCATACTTGTTCACAATACCCAGTTATTATTTTCTGTACCTAGCACATGAAATTAGTTTAGACTATCCCTGCTCACTCCCTTGTTTGTCTAATCCATGCCCTTTCATTAGGGCAAAAGAAGAATAATTTCCTTTAAAAAAAATTATAATTGTGACAAAAAAGGACATATTTGCAACAACCTCCCCATACCAAAAAAAAAAAAAAAATATTTAAAAAATCCCATAAAAAACAAACAAAAAAACCCCAACATTGGTAAAAGCCAGAAAAACAATGCTTGCAAAATATGTATAAAATGTGACTACAATTCTATAGGCTGGCCTTATGCCATGGCTTTTCCCAGAAGAAGAGTTGAAATCATATAGGAAAAAATGTTCTTAATGGAGCAGAGGTAGAGTGAAGTGTAAGAAGTAACAAAAATTCAACATTAACCAGGTGATTCAAATAGCAGTATATTTTACATTTTATACTACGTTTGAACATTAAAATGCTCTGTGCTTGAGAGCAGTTCTGGTCTCACAGCCCCACAGCACTTTGTGCACCAGGCAGGGGAACTCACACCCACAAGAGGTGGCAGGGGAGGTTCCCAAAGCTGCCCTGTCCTTTGGTGCCGGGTTAAAGGCGAGGCTCTGGGCTCTGGCTGGTGGTGGGACAGAGCAGACAGGCTCAGCTGCTCCTGCTGCTCCTCGCAGCCCCACGTCCTGGGCATGAAACACGGCACCAGGGCTCTGCAGGGAGCATCTCCTGCCTTCCAGTGTTCTGCTGCTGAAAGTGACCACCTGATGCTGCTTTGCCTGCGTTCCTACAGCTGAAGTGAGCCAAGGAACCTGCTGCGTTCATCGGCTTTTATCTCCAGAGGCAGCGTCATGCAGGGCTGCAGAACAAAAAACCTCCCAAACAATAATTCTGCTTCACTACAGCAGCACTCGGGGACCACAGACTGCACAAAAAAAATAAATTAATGTGTTCTTGATTGCATTCTTCCATTCCTATGAGTTCAAAATCAGAAGGGTATATTTTACTGTGTCAACAGTAAATGTTTTATTTAAATATTAAAAAAAAATCCTAGTAGTTAAATTAATACTGAAAATACACTGACACCTGGCTCTCCCAGTGCCTGTTCCACAAAACAGTTTTCATTTTAGTAGGACAAGCACTGCCAACATTAAGTTCTGAAAGTTTCTAATTACAATTGGCATTTCAAGTACATTTCACAGTTCGTGTATTATTAGAGGAGGTTTTGCCAAGTGGATTATTAAATTGCTGTGCTGAACAGAATGAATACACTTTTTCAGTTCATTATTTCAATACTGCATATTACAATAATGTAAAGTACACTACAAACTAATTAAAGTAATAAATTAGTTCTTTCACTCTAACATCTGAATAGCAATAATGTATTTACCATTCACCTAATGTTACAGATACAACTTTTTAAAGACAAAACAATGCACAATAGCACAGCACCACGTGACTTGTTACAAACAGACCTTGAGGCTGCCTATGGTGGCACAAGAGGTGGCACCAAGCTCCTCAGCTGGGTACCCAGGGCAGCTGTGAGGAGGGAAAGGTCGAGCAAGGGCAACATCAGCCTTTGGAAACCGAGGAAAACGCGCACGAGGAACCAAAAGGATGTAAAATCCTTGGGGGGAGCAGAGTCAGGAATGACTACCCAGAGCTCAGCTCACTCTGTGCCACACAGACATACTATGCTTCTGGAATCCAAATTCAAAGCAAAAATTCCCAACAGCTGTGTGATAAAGCCGGCACTGTTTGTAATGACTGAAGGCATAAAGGGAAAATCCTCTGAGATCCCCACTCTGATGTTTTCTAGCTCACTTTTTCAACCTTATAAAATGACACAATCTAAATACTCTTCTAGAGTGTCCTAGAGTTTTATTAATCTCTGAATCACTCCTGCTTATCTTTCCTTATTTATACTATGGTTTGCAAGTCTTCAAGTTGTGCACAACTGATTCTACAAGTCCCTGGGAAAAGATTTAGAGGGTCTCTTCAAGAAAAATAACTTCACAAGTGAAGATTCTACATGGTAGAAGAAACCACAAAAAAGAAGAACCACAAAATTTGGCTAGCCATGGAAGCCCAGAGCCAATGTGTTAATGGGGGGATCACAGGAACACAACAGCTGCAGGTCAGGGCTGCATGCTCACAAACAGCAAAATGGGATTGTGAAACAACTAGAGATTCAAACACTATTTAAAGGAATTCAGTATTTTTAAAGTCTCATGTATAAAAAAAGAAAACACACAATGTGTCTCCCCCCACTTGTCCCACAGCTCCCACAGGTTGTTGTATAAAGCAGGTGGCAGATCCACAAAGCACGTGGCACGTTTGCCAGCAGGAGCAGCCCGAGCTCAGAGTCAGGCTGTGCGTGCCAG